CTCTTTGCAGAGGAACACATGCAGTGGGCATCCCTCACACGGAGGGGGCATCCAGCTGAGAAAGCAGGCCTAAGCATGGCATGAGTACCTGTATCAAAATAAAAATTGAGATTTGCAGTAGGGCAGGCTTTGTGTTAGAGCAGTTGCATTGATCCCTTTCCTGAGTGTCTCGCCAAACTGAAAGAAAGCGTGGCCTCCTGGGGGAGATGGTAGCTCTGGTGGCAATTCTTCTGCATGGTGACATCTGGATTTTTTGTGGAGAAAGGCAGGCTCTGAGCTAGCCCCCACTGACCCAACTCCTTTTAAAGTGTATCTGAACTGTGTGACGGAGATGATTAAGCCGAGCTGAATTAGAGGAGGAGGCTGGGGGCAGCCTTGTTGCCCCTCGGGTGGGTGTTACAGCCTACACGGAGCTCTTTCCTGCCTGAGCTGCAGCACTTAAAGCTGGCTTTGGCATTTCTACACCAAGGATATGCCTGAGCAATGGATTGCTTGGGAAAGCCTTTGTTTTAAGAAAATCGGTGTCCTTCTCCACACTGCTCAAAGGTTTTTGTGAATGGCTTTCTCCTCTCAGGCCAGAAGCTCTCGCTGCTGCATGGGTGAAAAGGAGGAGAGCCAGGGAGAGGAGCCCCTGGTGCACCGACCGGCAGCCCGGCAGGCTGCAGAGCGTCTCTGGCGGCTGGTGCAGCCCCGGCGGGGCGGCCGGGCCCAGCCCGTCGTTGCAGGGCAGGGCTTTCTCTGCCAGGAGTGTGTTTGCAGCAGCCTGGGCATGTGGGCCGCCCTGGCACCCGCGGCTGGGGGAGCAGGATGGGGAGCATGGCCCAGCCCACTGCAGGGGCCAAGGCCAGCACCGTGTGGGGAGGGTGAAGGCGGCACACCGAGAAGCTAGGTTTCTCCCCGGTTTTGGAGGAGGAGGATCTCAGGGCTGCACTTAATTTTGTGTTGCCTTGTTTCCTGGCTAGCTAAAGGGCTTGTCTGTGCTTGATAGCACTTGTTATTTCTCCTTTCTTGTTTGTTGGAAGAGGGGGGAAGGGAAGGTGAGGTACTTTCTATTTAAAACCAGAAGTGTTTGTCATCTCCATCCAGGTGAATTAACCCACACTGGAAGGAAGTATGACATTCACATTGCCTTTTGTAATCTGGGAAAGCTGTGGATGGATGCATGCATCATCGCAGGAATTGCTTTGTCCACTAGTACTTTCAGTGCTGTCCTGTTTTGCTTAGCTGGCCACCTTCCCCTTTCAAATTTTGTGCTCCCTACTGCAGTACGACCAAGCATTGCCCCTTTGTTTTCATGCTGACATGTGGCCAGCTGCACCCTCTCACGGTTCCAGCTTGCAGTGTGTTGTGCACCCAGAATCACCTATGTGTTAGGTGGTAGCTGCTTCGCACTGCTGTGCGTACGTGAACTGAAGTCCTGGATTTGCAGGCCCTCTTGGGTGAAGAGTATGGCTAGCTTTATCTAAACAGGGGTCATCAGACCACCTCACCTGAGAAGTACTGTTAGAGCAGAGGGACAGATGGCACGCTCAACATCTGATCCAGAGAGATGTGAAACACCAGTAAGCCCCAACAGCAGTAACGGTGAGGTTTCTGGGAGAATGTGTGTAGCCTGCTAGAAGTTGGTGGTTGCCAGACAGGCTCCTGTATGCTTGTCTGTCATGTTACTGGCCCGACTGCAAATGCTAATTGAAAGTTTGCTTTGGCTCGCCCAGCTCCTGGGTGTCTCCCGGGCCCTCCTCTGGTGGAGGGCCAAGCAGACCTGCAGTGGGAGCATAACACAGCAGTGCTCCACAGGCAATCTCTTCCAGTAACTACTAGGCTTTTGTATGTAGCTCCTCCGTATATGAAGGCTACAGGTATATTCAGTCTTCTTTTATTATTTTCTCTCCCATCTCCATTAAATCCTTATTGCAGAGACATCTGCGTCTTTCACTACAGTGAACTAGCCTTCAAGCAGGAGCTTAACTGTTTCCCTGACTAGACGCATAAGTTCTCCCCCACGGTCTCTGCAGAAAGCTTGCCTGTCCCTTCTCCTGCCTTGCTTCCCAAAACTTCTCCCTTGCTCTCCCTAAGGTGTGCAAAACACCTGGCAGTAATATGACGAGACAAATCTCACTTGGCAGCGTTCAGTGTTGATCTGCTGTGCACCTCCCTCTACCCCATCTCCCAGTATCATCGTGGAACTGCTCCAAATGCAGCTTTAAACTAGTCCTTTCACTTGTCCAAATCCCTTGCAACGGAGCCAGGGAAGTGGAAACTGTGTCTTTGAGCTTAATAAGAGGAAATTAAGTGTTGTGTACATCTGTAACGGCACAGTGAGCAAGAGTTTTTCTTCCCCTCACAGATTGTGGGCTTGAGTTTGAGGATCTTGCTATTCAGACCTTTATAGGCCATCCTGTTTTTATTAGTGTAAACCTTCCTTAGCCATCAGCTTGTGTCCAAGACCACCCGTCTCCTTAAACGGTCTCTCTGCTCCAGGAGAGCCTGTTTTTGAAAACTGTCTGTATTAGGTGTGATAAGCAGTGCTTTTCTAGTTGTGTAGCAGAGGAGCTAAGGTAGCAGGAAGAGCTAAGAGCAGTGCAGCACAAGTGATCTGATGTGATCATGGAATCTTTGTTAAAGGAGGGGTACCTATCGGGGACAACATAGGTAAAGTCGATCCTGTCTTGGACAAGGTTGCTGCTTACAAGTTTATGACCCTGCTACTTTCTGTGCTCTGCCAAGCTCTTTTGTTTCTGTGCTGGAGCTTCTTTCTGACAGTCCTGTACCTTCACATGTGCATCAGTTTCAAAAGACAGTTTAGCAGCACCAAAGTAGTTTACTGTTAGCTGACAGCAGTAAGACGTGGCAGAAGCCCTGTGGGAACTTTCTGAATGAACGTATCTCTTTGAAACATACTGTTTGTTAAAGTTATAACTGTTTATAACTACTCGCTACTTGGGGGGGAAATCCAAATTGCTGAGTAATCCCAGTTTTGGCCTGGTTTTGTAAGAAAGAGTATCTTTTCAACATAAACAAAAATTTAAAGATTACATGAGAAAAAATATGCAGGAACAAAGTTAACTGATGAGCTAACTCAATTAGTTAACTCAATTTTTTCCCCATTTTTTAAAAAGCTCTAAGATGATGACAATCCCCATGATTAAGGTGTATATAACGCTTCAGTTCTAACTCCAGAGCATGGGCTCATTGCTTTCTGAGCAGGTGTTTCACTTGACGTAAGGGAAAATATAAGCTAAACCAGCTTTCAGGTGAGACATGCCCTGGCCATGGAGTTAACTGGGACAATTAGTCCAGATGTAATCATGCTTTTACTTTCTGTGTGGGATCAGAAGAAGTTACTTGTGACTCCAGCACAGGGAAATCACCATTGATCTCAAATATTTCTCTTTCCATGCAGAGACTTTCCTTTCTCTGTTCGTGAGCCTCCCAAGTTGAAATTGTCGCACACACCCCCCAACAACAGCTGAAACTCTGGAAAAAGTGCTATTCTTAAAATTGCAGGGAAATTAGGAATGCCAGAGAAAGAAAAAGCGTATGGATTTGATTGTCTGTTTTGAGCAAGAAAAGGAATTTTTTTTGCACGAGCTTTGCAAACAGTCGAGAGCCAGGCCTTGGGGTGCTTTTTTTGCCACTAAACAGCTAGCGGGCTTTTACCTGAAGAGATGTGGAATGGTTTGTCTGACCAAAAGATGCAGGACTATGCATTCATGTCTGGAAACTTTGACATCTGTAAAATAGGATGAAGGAGGAGAACGCTGAAGCTTGATTCAGGGTGAAGTCTGACTGTGGCTGCACATTGCAGCAGATCCTTCAGGTCTAAACTACAAGCTCTGATATGACTGCAGAGGTACCCAGTGTATGTGAAGCAGCCTGAAGCAGCAATTTATAAGCCACTTCTGATAAGCAGGGGATAGGGAATAGAGAACACAGGCTGGAACACTAGAGAAAGTGTCCCAAACGCAGAAGAAAAGGGAGGGGAGCCACTAAGGTTTGTCTCTTTCTCATGTCTTTTAAGGTAGGGATTGTGGGTCATGGGATAGACACAAGCCAGAAAGATAAAAGCGGTGAATCAGATTCTACCATCCTTTTCACAGACATTTCCCAAATGTACATTCCCTAGTGCTTTGTCATGTCTGAACTTCAGATGCAATAATGGATGGGAAATTCCACTATATCCTTTGGGAAACTGTCCAACAATCCTGAGTTGACTTTTTTCCCCTCCCTAAAAGAGTAGACTAAACGATGATATAGTTTCTCTTTGTAGTCTGTAGATATGTCCACACACACCAGAGGTACTCCTCTCAACCCATGTGGTTTACAGCCTTCAAATATCTGGTGTCTTGTGTCATGTCCTAGTTATCTGTTAATCAAATTCTTACATCCCTGTGTCTTGTTAATCAATTCCTGTGATCAGCTGCAGTAAGGCCCTGTGTTGCACATACATACATGGATCTCTAAAGAGAGTCATCAGCTCCGAAATACAGGCTTTTTCCTGTTGAAATCAAAGAGATCTTTAAGACTCAGCTAGCCACTAGAAGAGGTCATGAGTATTCATCCACCACGCCGCACAAAAATTAATGGAGATTTTGATGATTTTCTTGTTCTCTGAATGCCTTCTGGTATCCCCTTTTGGGTTTGAGATAGCTAGCCATGGCCAACACTTTTCATAAGTTGCACCGCAGCTGTTACAGAGAGATCAGCATCTCTGCTCTTTGACCAAAGTCACTTTCTGGATTTGCATGTAAAACTAAAAAGACACTAGTAGTTTTATTTTGTTGTTACTTTTGTACTGCAAACTTACATCGGGTGTTTGCCTCCTCTCAGTCTTGGTATTTGTTTTCCAACTCTTATCACCCACTAAGTATGTATTTTTGGTTTTTTTCTCATCTGCATTAGTACCTGTTTTTAAAAGTCTCTTAAGCCAATTAGATCCATCATATCATTCTGTAGTAGTAATAGGTAAATGCATTTTTCTTTAGCAGGATGTGTCACTGATGGAGTCTGAAGAAACCAGTGAGGGAGGTACCACTCCCCCAGAAGCCAGCAGCACCACTGGGGAAGCTTGGGATTCTACAGCAGTCGAAAGAGAGCATCATGCCCCTCATGTATCAGCTGAAATGAACACCAGCCTGTCTGACTCTGCAAAGGGACTAGAGCTCAGCACTCCCAAGGACTGCCTTTCTGCTCCAGGGAAAGCAGCAGAGATGCTGGGCAGACCCTCTAACCCTGTGCAAAAAGTGCCAGCAGGACTGGAACAAGAGCAAGGTGATCCAGAGCCTCAAAAGGGACTCTCAGAATTGGAAGGAGAAATGCTTTTAGAGGAGGGTGGACTGGATTGTTCTCTGAAACTTAAGCAAGTAGAGCTGGTTGACCTGGAAAGCAACCAGGACTCTTCCTCTCTCACCACAGTCCAGGATGGGCCAGCCCCTGGCAACGCCATCCTGCAGGCTGTGGACCTCAGCACTGAGTTTCCTCAGTGCCAGGCAGAACTGGCTTTTCATGGCTCAGACCCTCAGGCCCAGCATCTGAAATCTCCTTTGGCTGATGCCATTTCCTCTCAGAGAGAGACACCTAAATGCTTCTTGGTATGTAAAACCATTTCAGAGGGGCATTATAAGGCTGAGCCGTTTCTGGATAAGATCTCCACGGATTCTTTGCAGGAGGTTGATACTGGTGCAGAGCAGAAGCAAAGCAGTAAAAGAGTGGCACCAGCAACTGATGAGCAACCTACCTCAGAGGAAGCAGCAGAGGACATGGCTAAACCTTACACTTCTGAAGATGCTAAGGAAAGCATAAGAGCACTCCAGGGTTCGGAAGAGAATATAGAGTCGTCTTCTTCCCATCAATTGTCTTCCACCTTAACAGATGACAGCCATGTAAGTTCACTACAAGCAGAAGGAAACATCTCAGCTGGTGAAACAAGGGATAGCAGTGTGGTCAAAGACCAGGGAACACTAATGGCTCCTAAAGAAAACTCATCCACTTCCAAATGTCTTCACCTTGAAGATGATCACAGAAAAACAGAGGGCAGACCTGCCTCTCCAGCAGAGAGTGCCTTCCAAGTAAAAGATACTGCTAAAAAAATTGAAGAAGTGAATACTTCACAGCATAAGGAACGAGCACAGGAGGAGGCAGTGTCTGAACTTCAGCCGGGAGAGGACAAGGAAG